GTATCATCTAGACCTCTTTTGAATACAGTCAGTGTGGGAGCAGAAACAACGTAAGTGGGGAGGCATTGCAACTTTGGAACACACTAAAAGAATATAAATTTCGGAGACATTCCAAGCAGCTATACGGTGTGGCCATATTTCGTTGGTGAGCTCATGGTGATATTTTGATTCAGCCTCAGAAAGCAATGTAGAGCGTGATTTGAATTTCACAGTAACAATTAGGTCATTATGAAATAACCATCATCAATTATCAACATTTTCCACTGTGGACCCCAAGGGTTCTCAGGCAGTTTTGTTAAGGGAGATGAAACAAAGCTTCATGTTCTTGGTCGCTCTTCCTTGTGAGTGTTTCAATTTAGTGAGATCATACTTGTGCCAGAGCTGCCAGGCGTGTGTGGCGTATTCCGAATGGGACATAATCTATTGGTTGAGCACATGAGAGAACATTGTAGGATCATAACGTTCAAATGTCCTGCGCAAAAGGTCAGGGTGTTGATTGGACATTGTGGATGCTTTTTCTGCCTGTGTTGAACAGCCAATATCTCCTTGTACCATTACATATACGTCGCATTCAGTGGAAGCAAGCTACAAAGCTTGATCTTTGAGCCGATACTAGCAGGTAGATTGTCAACGTTTACTAATGTCGTACACTTGGTAACTTAGAAAGGAAGCAGATTTTGAGTCGCCCATTCATATACACTGACTAGGTCACTCTGCAGCCCTACGTGGTACTTGTTGCTTTCATGGCCAGCCATATCGTGCACTAATCATAGCAAAGTAAGACCATGAAAGTGATAAGTTTGGTGAATTCGTGTATGTAAATCAAGAATTGGAATGCACCAAGTAATGAACCCTGCGGCATTCCGCACTGAACATCAATAGAGTCATAGATAGCGCTACAAACTCTCACATTTTGAGGTCATATATCCATGAAGTTACCTATCTATCCGAGCAGTGGGTGGCGAATAGGGCAGCTCCAAATAGGTTGTATCACGATGTGCTGGCTGGGAAGATCTAACGCATCTCAGAAGTCCAGATAAGCCATGTCAACTGCCATACGGCTGACGACGGTTTCAGTCTAACCGTTCTGATGGGAAACGACAGAGAAAACACATATGATCTTAACAAACGTACCTATTGTAAGCCCGCATGATCCTCAAACAATGACAGCCCTGCATCCGTGAGCAACTTGCACACGTAAATACGGTCGGTCCCTTTGTGGACGCGGTTATTCGCTGACACGAGAAGTAAACATGAGACGTATTATTTACACTTGAAATTATGTTGCTGTAAGGGAAAATGTGTGCGACATAATTTCCCCACGCTTGCCATTTCGCTGATGTGCACAACCTAGTTGACTTTGAGCGGTTAAGCTGTACTCCAAATGCAGCGCATGCGAAGATTAGTTATTTTATTTGTAAAAGGACGCCGCGGTCAATACTGTTGAAGGGAAACATTTTTCTACAAAGCTTACAAGGGTTGGATGTCTACCCAAATGATTTAGTTGCAAATATAACACGGCCAATTGTGAGTGCATATTCTCTGATCTTTCTTCGTTCTCGGCCTTCAAAGGATTCCCAATCATTGTTGTTAAGGTATCCTTTGTTCGGTCACCCTGAGAAACACCATCAGTTTCCATTCCGAATAAGTGTACCTTTCGTAAGCACCTTAATTTATGTAACCCTTGATCGGATAGTGGAGACACCTTGATACAAACGGCAAAGTACGAAAGCATAAATGTCCAAAACTCTATCTGAAACGCTGCACTAGCCCGACCATATCCACAATTCTTTCGGTGAAATATCGGGCGAAATGATAAAAGTCAAATGAAACGAGCGCAGTAAAACTTTATATTTATGAATTAATTTTTGAAATTGTTCATTGAAGTTCGATGAGTTTCGGAAACTGCAAAAGTGGAACCATTGATTAAAGTTGACAGTGGTATTTTTTAGTGGTCAATAAATATATGCTGTAAAATTATGCCGCGATGCAAAATCGACACCAGTACATTTCATATGGAGCACAGATATGGGACCACCCGTGATTACCCACAACATGTTACTGCAGCTGTGTCAAATGCTTCTCGAGTCAAACAAAGCTGAAGTCAAGCAAGCGAATGCGCAACGCGTTTTGGCAATTCATTTTGAAATTCACTACAGCGCATGACAAGTGACAACTCGTTTTTCTTATTAACGGTTGGCAGTATGTGTCTTGAAGCATGCCACGTTACGTCATCGCAACTGTTCTCCATGAAACAGACCACCGCATATGCGAAAGCTGCTTGGTTGCTGATTCGGTTTTTCAATGCTCGCCAGTGATTTGAGTTAGATTGATACTTTTTCATAGGCACAGAAATCAGAAACACAAGTTAGCGAACAAGTTCGTCTTCAGTGATTCGTCATCTGGCTAATCAACAGGGATGAGTGAGATAGATTGCAAAAAATAGATACTTGTACAGATTTAACACCTTCATGGTCCGAGTTATTAAGCCAGGTGATCGCTTTAGTCACTGTATCCTGACAATCTAACTAATTTTAGCTTTTTTCATTGCTCGTAAGTCTATCACGCAACATTTATGGAATCAGACATTTGTATATCGACCACTTCCGTAAGTTGCATGTTGACCCCTTAGGCCATAGCTTTCAACAACAATTAAATATCTATAATTTGTCCATGTGAGGGTTTACCATGCAACGGCCGCTGAGTAAAGAGTTTGTTGAGATAGAAAGTTATATGTAGCGAGCTTTTGTAATGTGTGAAATACTGCTGGCGCACAATCACTTCACTTCACGGCTAGACGGGCGTTCGACAATACAACATTTTCTCTGTCTCTGTAGGTGAGTGTATATGTTTGTGCCAAGCAGAGGCTGATAATGTGTACATGGTGCTTCTTCACCGCAGGTGAGCTGAACCAACTTACACTTAAACCAGGTCTTTTAAGCTAAAAAAAATTCATTCCACATTATTTGGTTTGTTCTGCCTACCTGAATAATCTATTCATTTACACAAATTTCTTACGCTAATAGTGGTTATATTCGTTAAATTTATTGCGTTGATAGCATTTTATGAGTAACGTAGACATTTCGTACTTATCGCGGATTCGTTGCTAACCAACTTACTTCGCCGGTTAATTTAGCGAAGTCTTATGTCTATATAACCGTAAGCTTTAACAGTTATATTTTATTTGTTAATGTTATTTCTTGTGATAGGCCGTTGTTTGACCTCCCCAATAGTGCTGCGCTTGATGTGCATGATGACTAGGTGCCTACCTGTCTATTACCCACTACCTCGTCCATACTGGCACTAGGAGACACTTGGTCGTTGCTGGAAGAGACGGGGTGCACGGCCCTTGTGGTCATGCTAAACTTGAACCATGGTTCCATACACTCAGGGTGGAGCAGACTACGGTCCATCCACTGCCTTGTGTGCGCTTGATTCCCCAACTAGATCTTGCTTGTGTTTGCCTGTGAAGGAGTGTGGACGGGCTCCGTTGATGAGACGTGGCTCAAATCCACATGCCTCCCGGTCTTATTCCTTCGGGTTTACGCTGGATGTGGGGTGCGTGGATGGAGCTGTTTGTGGTACAGTGCAAGCCACCCATGGTCCCTCTGTAGGCGCAAGCGTCGTCTGGCTGGCCACAGTGACAGGCAAATGCGAAACCGGATGCCGCCAACTATGTTTATACGACCCATCGGTGTTTATGCACATTGATCTCCGCTATATTCCACATGCCCCTATAGATTCGCATCCCCTGAATGATCTTGACCGCTTTTGTGTGAACCTTTCCCCACCCCCGCGTCAGATTATTTGGTCTGAGGCGCTCCTACTCTTTGGGACATGTGGACACTTATTGCAAATTTTTCAATCAGGGTTTTGGGTGCCTGTTCTACTCTCCATTAGCCATTTCTAAGCTGACTGTCCAGTTAATTCTGATAAGAGAAAGAAACAGACAAAGAACGATTTTTCTAAAAGAGCAGCAATTGAGAAAACCATAATGCGTTTTGATTCATTATGTTACTACATAAATCAGGTAGCTTTTCGTTGTTACCGGAAAAGGTACTACATTGCAAATTTTTTTAGATAGGCATCACCTAATATTCATCAGTTACATTCTCAGTGATAGAGTTGACTTCGATGATAATCGTACTTCAAAATAACCCACTAATATTACTGGAGGATCTAACTGCAATTGCCATTGTGTTTGAGCTCCTCACATATAATCAAAAGAGGACATAAGTGAAAACATCGAACCGTACTACTTACAACTAGAGAGCAAGTTAAGCAAGGTTTAATATAGAACACTCATAATTTGACAAAATCCATGTTACTGACTTGGATCCAATCCCTTAATTTTGCAATTTATGAAGGCTTCTCCATGCTGTAATCACTATGATTATCTAGGCACTTTAAGTTGTACGCATATCTGTTGTTTCGGTTTCCTCCCATTCGTACGTGATGTATTCGCTTGATGACGAACGGTCCAAAAATGTGGTTGTTCATCAACTCTTGTTTCTACTTCGTGTTAGTAAGGTATTTCGAGGAGGGCGAACCCACAAGCGCATATCTATTGGTTAGAAACTCGTACTGCTGGGTCATCCGTAAATTTGATGCAAAGGAAAAGAAGCACCTTAGGCCCGTAGTGCAGCAACGGTGTCGTCTGTTCACCACCTAACTGGTGACATGGATGGGATTCATCAATGCATACAGGATGAGTAATGGCTCATTGAGCTGTGCTGAGAAAAAAGAAAGTTGAATTTTATTAACGCAGAGCTCAGTGGGTTACTGTCCAAATACGAGTGAATATCAAGAGTGCTGGAAGACCACAATTGTACGTAGTTCTGCATGCGGCTAACCACGGTAGACAAGCGTGAACGGAGTAGAAATCCAGACTCCTCAGAGCAACTTACATTCAGTTAGCGGAACCTATGCATACTAGTGAGTAGACACTGAGTATGTGATAAAATGTAACGTCAAATGACTCACGATTTAATGATCTTGTATCAGACTGAAACAACCGTTACGTCTGAAAGAGAAGTCAGGTGTAGCATGAATGCAAGTGATATTTAACCTGGTAACATTTGAAGAGGCTAGTGACGACGATGATACTCACACAGGGAGCAATGATGCGTAGGGTAAATTTCTATTTATCAATTGAAATGCATCATTCAACATGACTCACTAGTGATCCGAAACCTCAGGCGTTGGTTTCTTCGCAATGACCAGAGTTTATTCTCCAATAGATCCCACAGACGATCAGCTCCTTGCGCACCAAAATCCTCCTGTCCTGCCAAACGCAGTTTCTTCTGCGATAATTGGAGTATCACTTGGCCTGCTTCGATTTTTCCAGCAGATGCATTTAGACTACACTGTCTGCTTACTAGGCTACTCTGTAGTGGAGTATCTATTAGAAGGTTGGCGACCTGCAAATGTTGTAAATGGAGGGATTAACACTATTTTGGCTACGCAGTGATTTAATCAAACATTAGGTTTCCCGCATTTAATTATAATAGGGTCCGACAAGGCTTACGATTGTTGGAATTTTAAGTACTGAGGCAGTGTCAAATGACAGGCGAACATTTTCGGAAACTTTGTCAACTAGTCCCACCAAACCACAAGTGAGAGTCGTTTGTCGAGGTTCTTTCCCGAGATTTGGGAACTACTGTGATGGAATTTTTTGTAAATTAACGCTAGATTTTAAGAGCAGAAAGTTATTTTCCATGGTTAAACACAACCAGGCAGATGATACATATCTGGTGCGCGATGAACGGCAGACGACTCCTGTTGTGGCATAACAACATATATTTTGTGAACGCTATCGGACCCATGGCAATGCACCTCACCAGGCAGAACCCAGTGCTGCCTAATTTTTGACGAAACGGCAGTCCTCGTGTCAACTGTAAAGATTTAATTGGAGACAAAGACTGTTGCCCTAGGTTACGGCTGTGACACTGGCTTCGATCTATGTAGTATTACGAGTTAAGTTGAGACAGTCGGATCTTCAAAAGAGTAATGTGGTTGGGTTTCCAATGTGTCCAAATGGGCCCACCACAGATATAAATTCAATTACTAAAACCATGTAAAGTGATCAGGATCTCAAATCTTGTGGAATTCGACGAAAATGAGCGCTTTTTAAGAGTTATATAGAGCAAATTAAAGTTCGCGACAATTTAGTTGTCAACTAGTATCTTTCCTACTCCGTCTAACTGTAGCCGGACCGCTTGACGTTTAGAAACTACTGGGCCATCGGCTACTAAGTAACTGATCCTTTTGAACCGCGAATGAAGGAGACTGTAACCTCAATGGCAATTAAATCTGAAAATAGTTAACCCAGTGCATCATAAACAAAAAATGTTCACTTACAAAGCAGTCCGGGCCCCTAAACTTGCGCGAGTTGTATTGTTTCTTCGGCATCTCCCAATCGATTGTGAACTCTGTTTGAAGGAATGATTCCGCATAACCAGATGCATATCAGAGAGGCGGAATTTGCTCTAAAACTGCCAGGCTGAGCTAAAGGTCACATAGATTCTGGTCTGTGCAGTGCATCTACTGCGAACCGTCAAATAAGTTATTCCGGTTCATTGTGACAGAACAAGTGTAATTCATTAACAGCTTACATTCACCAAAAAGTGAAGGTAATATGTGTGAATTCGCTCAGAAAATATCAGCCAAGTAGCATCATCTGATTCTCGACTCACCTTCAACTTTTTCTGTACTGGGATTGTTTCGTTTACCTGAACACTTCTTCACTCTATCCGGGTTACTGAGTTGCCCTAGAAAGAGAAATATTTTACGCAGGTTAAATGAACGTTTTGAATGGCCCCAGACACTGCTCCATTGGTTCAAATGGCAATATCAAACCACTCATTACGTGACTACAGGTGGTCATTGAGCACGACTGTAATATACTGCCATGCTATATAGTTAACATATAATATGATGGGACAACTAGGTCTAGAAGACACTTTGTGTAGCAGCTCTCCATCTTGTATCTGTACACTGCTACATAAGCAACATAATCTTAAATAGATAGATCCATGTAGATGTTATCTGTGGGACACTATGAGCAAGACATCGTTTAACCGACTCACCCACTGCTGTGGCGACGATCAGCACCAAAACTATGTTCGCCGGCCTCACAAACATAGCTCCAGTTCAAATCACCAGAAGGAAATCCTTGTCCTTTATGGTCGTCCGGCTCTTAATTGTGATTTTGTGCTCTTATCCTCATTCCATACCTAAATAATTACATTGAGTTCAGGTATATCAATCATACTGATTTACATTTAATGGGTTCCTTTACGGCATAATCTACGGCACACGTGTACATTATTCGCATTGAAAAACTCGCTGTTGACAAAAAACAAATTGTTTCGTCACGTGTACATTGTGACTGAAGTATGCACTACCGATTGAGGAATATGGAAATCCCTTACGGGAGTATTTTACATGTGAATGATGTGCATTTATTGATGCAAGCCTGGTGACCCATAGGTGAATACCAAATGAGTTGCGATCCCGTGACCTGTTAACATTCGCTCCACGCGCTAACGCGAAAATCCACACTTATACGGGCGCTCATGATGACAATGGAATTTTTTCGAATCGAGGTAGTCTCAAATATCACTCGTTGCATGACAATAAACTCGCATTTCACATGGTGTATAAATTATGGGACTGTGGGTTAACGAGAAATGGCGTGCAATAATAGATAATCACCGAAAACAAATAACAACCTTGAATAACGATGAAGGCCACCTGTAGGTAGCCCACCTGACAATCGATAATGAACTAGATTTGAAATAACGGAAGAGAGTATTAATAATTGTAAACGAGCAACACATTGGCAAAATGTGTTTGAACATATTGCTTTGCGCAATTGAATCTGTCCTGTGAAGCAAGATACGCAAAAACGTGGCGTTGCGAATCTCGGCCTGTTATAACTATACACTCTTTCCGGTACCGAGACCTGGTTGGCCTAAAAGACCTGAAGTAACCACTGTACGCAACTTGTTTGTGAGGGTAAAATAGCATGCCAGCAGAACTTGGCATTGCATATGATCTCAAATTGAAAACTCTCGTATCAAAATGCAAAGTCTACGTAGGTTGAAACGGGGAATTCCTCCTTTTCAAACGGCGAGGGAACAAATACCGACCCTGGAGGATGCGAAGAATACCAGGCGACTGCAACGGGCTCCAACATTTCAGCTTGATTATTGGTAATCTAACCTTATGACAAGCGTTAACTCACCCAAAATACTTACCTATTTATACTTCACGTTAGAAACAGTACTAAAAGGGGTATTATTTTTACTAAGCACAGCTCGCTTTGAGTTTAAAATATTCATTCAAAGTCCATTTCGGTCGTAGGAGACAGCTTAGCTGAGCATTTGGATAGCTTCTAACAGTACTCTTTTGAACTAATACACTTACTCGACATGTAGCAACATGGAAGGATTATTTCTATCCACAAGGTGGGTAATCGTTCTTATCCATCAAACTACCGTCCCGTTATCCTACTCCTGGTACTTTCAGTTTATATGTAGACCAGTGTTACTGACACATTTACAGTCTAGTTGAAAGATTTTACCTAAATCGCACCAGAACTGCATGACTCCTGCCGAAGTCTTTCCTGCACTATAAATTTATTACTAACACTATCCAGTTGGACCGAAGCAGCAGATGCTGACATAGGGGTTGGTGTAGCCTTTCGCGACTTCTCGAATGCATTCGACCTGTTAGACCATGACATACTGCTCACAAAACCCTACACCGTTGCAGTTAGTGATTCTTTCTTATGATGGATCAGAAGCTTTATTCTTATCGGCGCATGGAGATAGGGGTGCGTGAATACATATTGCATCTCAAGCAATTTGAAGGTGGAAGGCCAAAATGATCGGTGCTGGCACCACGGTTGCTTTTGACGCATGTCAAAATATCAAGCGCAACATGAGATCGAGCTGCTAGTTCTAGGCCGATAATATTCAGATGTGGAAGGTGCTATATACACCAGAAGACATCCCACTAATTTAAGCCGAATTGATTACCGTTTAATGCGTGCTCAATTCTGAATCTACTACGGTTTAATGTGGATACTTGTATAGTGCTGCCCTATGACAACAGCTGGCGTGCTCCTACTAATTTGTAACCAGGAGACTAAAGAATAGTTTGGCTAAATGCATCTGACCGTTTTGCTCTAGGCTAACTTTGGTTTGCGAACCATGTTGGAAAAGCATCAAGAAGAAGCATCCGAACACGCGGGTTTCCTGAGGCGTGCTTTCTGACAAATCAGTCCGTCGATTTTAAGCAACCCCAGTTTATGCATAGGTTTAACTTTGGCAACCATGGCTAAGAAGAGACCTCAGCAACTTCGAGGTACCCCAATGCAGCGCAACCATTAATATCAGGAGTTTCTGTCGTTTACCTTATGAAGGAAGGCTTAGAGTGCTTGGCGTCATCAGCGACCGACAGTGGCGATTGCGTGGGGGTAACTTATTTTGACTTAGCGTATTATCATTGATCCTATTCACACTTGCCGCCATTTGCTAGGGCTGTCACAACAGTAATTTCAGATGTCAACATCTCAAGCTATCAGATCAGTACAGTCGTTTGTAATGCCGTCGGAATTTCTTTTCTGCACGCATTTGTCACGTGTGGAATGCTCTACTAGAATCTGTCATGTTTGCTCCCAAGCCGGTAGAGTTCATTACCCGAGTTAACTGCCTGCTCATTTCATTGCACTATCTCACAAGGCTCAGTGTCAATGGCCAAACACAATAGTCTGTAAAAGGTGTTACTAATGGTCAATTCCAGGTTGTGTTACCCCTTTTCCACCTCTTGTATGTTCTACCAGGAGACGTAAGGATGTTTATCAACAGCCCAAATTCCATCAAACTTTACGGATTTACAGTAAATTACAGTTTATATTGCGGATACCACAGTGAATCCACCGGGATGAAACTAATTTAACTGACACTACAATGTTTTGAATGTTCACCTTTCTACCTTTTGCGATATGTTTAGATTCCGCCTTTCAATACGTATAAAACCACTGTTCCATTGTTCCTGACCATATAGACTGGTCGCACTAATTTTACCATTCGTAATTTGATGCATACACAGAAGTTGCTAGCCAAAACTTGATGCAACCGGCTAAGGTATAAAGTTTCTAATAAATCGCTTTGAGAATCAAAATAAATGCGACTTTGTGCACCTTAGCCTTGTACGCATCTAATTTCAGGATGTATTTGGAAGCCGCGGGCATTACAAGTAACGAGTGCGTTCACAAATCTGTTTGATCAAGGGAACAATGGATTTATCATGGATTGAACACAAACGCTTAACAGGTTTTCGCAGATTAATAATGAGATAAAAACGGATAAATAAAAAGCAAATATGCGTAGCCGTGTATTTACCGCACATTTCTGGTATACACATTATTTGGTAACCTTGTTTTGTGTTCCATTAACTTGGGTTAATGCATGTAAGCTAGGTGGTGTAATGTATCGTCAAGTCGACTTTTGAATTCGGACAACATACGAACAGATATGACAATATGCGTAAGTAGGTTCCACGTCTGGGATACACGAAAATAGAAAACGTTCCGACGGCAGTCCACCCGGTTAGTCTGTGGTGCCAAATCCAAATGGTGGCTTCTAAGTGTGGTGTTGGGATAATTAATAATCTGATCCACAAATGCGAGATCACCTCGCAAAAGACAATAGTACTGACTGCAAACTCTTAGAGTCCTTTATCTCACCTGGCAAGGGAGGTGTAACAATCCATTCACCTTTTTGTTGCTATCTGTTGTGGCTTCTCATAAGAAGCATGATCAGTTTCTTGCCAGGGATACCAAGCTTCGACGGCTTGTTCAACGCGGGGGGTTCACGTAAGCTTTGAGCCTATCCGAAAAGATAGCAGGATCAAACCTCCGCAGTAGGTCCAAGTGTTAGCTGACTTTTCTCACTGCCATCTCAGCCAGCTTCGAGCATCCGAGATCGTCTTGAACGAGCACGCATAGCTCTCATTCATAAGAAGAGCACTACAGAACATGTTTCCCCAGCCAATATTGGTAGGTACTCTAGTGACGTATGCTCATTATTTTGCACTTGGAACAAGCATGTACTGAGTCCACCGCTCGTAGGTCATGTCCACGTCGTCTTGCTGAGCTATACCGTCGTCTACTCGTATGATTGCCGGCCATATCTTGAGGTCGTCCGCAAAGAGTAATAGATTCGACGTCAACATTCTCGCGATGTAATTTATGAACACGAGCAAAACCATGTTAATGATACCGAGGGTTGAGATACGCAACAGATATAGCGTCACTTGGATACCATCTAGGTTTGCGACGGTGTATGATGGAAGGTGTAAAACCGAAGCTCTTACACTCTGCTAGTTTTCTACCTGCAGTCTCAACGGATCGTGGACTATTAGATACCATTTAATTCCGCTTTGCGTCCTCTTTTCCTAATCGAAAATGTGTTGAAGTATATCTGACGTTTTTTGCGAAAATTCTGCAAAATCTTCCAACTCATCCCGTGCTCTGCTCTGTAGAGGATTTTTCCTCAACCCACACCAACCAAATGTTAATCAATGGACTCGGAATTACCAATCATCTCCAACAACCACGCGCGGTGTCTGGAGCCCTATTTTAGAACGCGACCTGCAAATCTGCTTTCTTACTATCGGGACGTAGCTCAAACGTGCGGACTACATATAAGCGAAACCCGACCCTAAACAGCAACGATCAATAGGCAAAGTCCTCTATCACACCAACGCTAGTTTATCCCCTCGATCTCGCGTGGGTGTCTCAACGTGTACGTGAAGCACCTAAGCGTCAAACTGCCATCTACCATCTGCCAAGGAGCGTACTACAGAGACTCGTGCACATAGAGAAATAAACGAGACTAACGAACAAGCCGCGCAGACGGGACCGTGCAAGTAACAGGGACCCAAGGAACTGGCTGATCAACAAAACAAATCCCGCAATTCAAAACGGTTGTTTTGCACAGCTTATAGTAGTAAAAACTGCATCATATTCTTTCTATGTCTACAGTGGTTGTATTCCAACTCAATCTTAACATTTTTTAGCTGTACGTTCAACACCTTAACATTCTTCCGAGTACCCACTAGAAATGCTTGTT